TGGAGTTTATCCACGGACCCAATATACTGTTACACAACATGCGTTCTCTTTCTCAACTATTTAACGTTCCAAAACTGACTGTGTCTAACTGGATACTCGCCAAAACGGGCATTTTTACATAATTTTGTATGTATTTGAACGTTTTAGCACAGTTAGCCACTCATTTTGGTATTTGTGGCTCACAAACTGTTTGAGACTGAGCGCGGCTTGTGCGCTCCACTAATATAGATCAGTTCTGGTGCGCACGCTTTTGGTGTAAGCGCGAAACCTGCGGGAATGACTAAAATAATGCGCAATACAAGCACTATTTAACCGGAGCACATGAGAGCGTGTGTGAGAGAAGGGGTCGTCGGAGAGAAGAGAGCGAGAATGCGCGGCTGACGTTATTGCCTGTGCGAAACGGATCGGCGCGGAATCGAAAAGAAGTGAGACTGACCGGCCGATCACCGATCCGGGCCGATCATGAGGAAAATCAGCCGTTTCCGATCCCTGGCCGATCGATCGGTGCATCTCTAGTGGTAAGCTATGCCAGCTAATGGTGATAGTGAGCTTATTTTGCCAAATGGTTCAACTCAGCGCTTGACACAATTTACTTTAATTTGGGGTGAATTTTGTCACTGACTTTTTTGAGAGCTCATGTTTCTATGATATTATAGACACTTTGTTTTAATTTTAGTTGATAGTAGACATCCTGAAATATAATTAAGAGTATTTGTGATACCCTCTTCTTTGAATGCTCTGTTTCTATAGATTCATTGTTATTAGAGGTATACAGCTCTGTGTACAGAAACCTGTTTCTGCATAATCCTCTGCCAGCTTCACGTCCTCAGGGCAATTCCATTTGTCAGTCGTCAACTTTTGGTGGAAACATGAAAGAATATTTCCACCAAGTGTTTGTTTTGCACACCATTTATCCATTTATGGTGGATAGTTCTCTTTGTATATGTTTCCGTTTTGTCTTTTTGACCGAATTTATGCAACCATTCGTTTAAGAATTACCAGGCTATCATGGAAAGTTTTCGCGAAGAATTCTGTCGAAAACTTTGCAGATTTCGTCAGAATTTGAGCACAAATCCATGGAGTCCTTCATTTTCTTTTCTAGGCCAACTTTTGGACCAAGACCACATTTAAGCATTTTGTAATAGTTGTTTTTTTTTTTTAGATGCTTTAGATTTATAATTCACCATATGTTTTATTATTATTATTATTATTATTATTATTATAGAAATTAGGTCTTATTATTATAGAAACAAGAGGTCAAGGCAATTCTATGGAAGCCTGTTTCCGCCACTGAATAAAAAATAAAAAGGGTAATTGCAACTTTTTATCTTACAATTCTGATTTTTTTTTCACAATTGCGAGTTTGTATCTCGCAATTCTGAGAAAAAAAAAGGTCAGTTCTCAGAATTGCGAATTTATTTCTCAGAATTGTGACCTTATTTCTCAGAATTGCAAGTTTATATTCAGCAATTCTTACTTTTTTATATCATGCAAGTCTGAGAAAAAAAAAGGTCAGAATTAGTGAGTTAAAGTCCGTGTGAACCGGATGTTGCTGCCGACTTTATTTCAGTGCAGTGACGTATTTCCATCAGAAATGGAATATTGAATAGAGGGCATGGTTTTATTTTTGCGCTCCTCCTCTTGGTCTCTCACTCATAGCAGCTGAAACGGAATATTGAATAGAGGGCGTGGTTTTATTTTTGGTCCCGGTCTCTCACTCATAGCAATTGAACGGTTGGAGGGGCATGTTTAAGGATATTCTGCCCAAGCCGTCAAACTGACGTCATCAGAGAAGGAATGCCATTCCAGAGCGGAAGCAAATGTTCAGATTTGTATTGAAGATTACCAAAACAAACAATTTTTTTCAGCGGATTAACTTGCACGGATGAATTGTTCACATCAAGACTAGCAATGTGCGCTAGTAAAGTAAATAAAGTCAATTTTGATTTCATGCGGACTTTAAAAAGTCAGAATTGTGAAAGAAAAAGTCATATTTTAGTTGTAATTTTTTATTCAGTGGTGGAAATGGACTTCCATGCAATTCCAGTGAGGCCTCATTTAAAACAAAAACAAACTTGAGTCAAGTCATTGCTGGTCACAGGATAATGGTCACTTTGTAACATTCACTGGGTTGCATGATCAACCAAAGAAAATCAAATGAATCTTTTTTTTTTAGGTAAACTTGGCAGTAAATCAATGCAATCATTTGTGTAGGGGATCTGTGTCTCACACTCAGTGGTTGTTCTGACTTTTCCTGTTTGGCATATATTCATTCTGGACTCTGAATACTTCAGGGCTGTAGCTGAGGGCTCAGACGCCAGAGCTGTTTCACACCCGGTGCTTTTTCACTCTAGATATGAATGGCCATTCAGCTTTGTCTTGAAAGCCTTAAGGCATCACATCAGATTTGTTTTGGTCTTTCCTTCCAAACCTTTGACATTATATTTTATTACCTTATTCATATTTCTCTCTCTCTCTTTCTCTTTCTTTATCTGCAAGGAACCCCTCCACGGCTTTCTATCAGGCCTTCCCAAACGGCAGGTCAAAGGCCATCAGTGATGGGTATGATCACTGTGTGTGTGTTATATTGCACTCTTGGCAGCCGTGAGTGTGCATGGAGTAAGCATGGCATTTCTGGAAGTGTTTCAGGCTCAAGAGTCTAACATCCATAACAAGAAGCACTCTTACATATGGACTCTCTTCACAGGCTGATGATGCATTTACACAGTTAGTAGCATTGTAATTCTTTATTAAAATCATGGAATCATGGATGTACTTTTTAAAATTTTTTTTCACAAAAATAGTCTCCTATTCGCCGCTGTAGAAGTTTACTCAACTGTGACTACTTCTGAGAACCCTGGCATTGTGAAAAGGGTCCATTGTTGACAGTTTTGGCTTGGGCATCTTTAAAGGGTTAGCTCACCCAAAAATGAAAATGAGCATGTGTTTTACTCACCCTCAAAGCATCCTAGGTGTATGTGACTTTAGCTGGAAGTCGTTCCGGCAGATGATGTAGAACGTCTGTGTTGCGTGATTGGTGACGAACGCGGAGACAAAACAAAACAAAACGCCGTTCACGAATTAGAAGCACAAAACGAGGATTTGAAAATGTCGGAGTATTTCGATATAAGCCAAGAGGAGACTGGTTTTCATTTGCTAAAGTAAGGAAACTTTGTTTCCTTTGCTCCTGCATTTCTCAGAGGCACGCGCACAACGCCTACGTCTTACATCATCTGCCGGAACGGCTTCTGCGTACCACAGTCAGCGGAAGTGAGAAAAAGTGTTTATTATGTTTGAAATATGGATATTTATCTTACAAACTGGAGTAAGACTGGAGTTACTTCTCTGAAATTATTAATTGGTCAGTGGATGCCTTTGTCAGTGTGTTGAAGCAAACATTTTCTCAACTTTTGGATGTATGACGGTACATTACATCCACAGTAGAGTTGCTAAAAATATTGCTTTTTTGATACTTATCAATACTGAAATATCTAAAACTCTGAGTACTCTTTTTTTTTTTTTTTTTGCAGTATTGTTATACTGATACCAGCTGTGCTTTCTCGCTCTCTCTTCTTTCTGACAGCCAGTTCACACACCTCAGTCTGTGAACATTTATAAACTTGTTGTCCAACAAAATACACAATTAACAACATATTTTCACTCCAAACTCACTTCATAACATCAGTCGAGTGTTTGAAATAACTTCCCGATGCCACATCTGATGTGGCTTCTTAGCATAGAATGAGGCTGAAAATGTATTATTTTATAGTATTCTACTGTATTACATGCTATGTCGATTAGCGTTGCATTATAAATCGGCTTTATTCTTATAAAAATACCCAAGATGGCTTGAAGAACACAGATGAACCATATATTTTCACAGTTGTGTGTTAATTGTCTTCATGTTTGATCAGTTAAAGCATTTCTATCTTCTTTTTATTTAGTTACAGCGATAGCTGGATGCCTTTGTTCATATTAGGGATTCCTGGATCGGCATAAGTAAGGGATGTAACGATTAACTGCGAGCCGGTTGAAAATCGATTCAAATATGTGACGATTCAAATCGGTTGAGATGCTAAACAAATTGCGATACATTTGGAGTAGGAGTTTATATGAATGTATCTCTGAGGGGAACTGACTATCTTTAGAAAAGTTTACGTGGTATTTTCTTTTCATCTAGCCTCTGAACAATGCATGTTAAAGTAGTGTTCATAAGCGCAGCACTGCTTTGTTTACAGAGGTAACCCAGGAAACACTGTATCATTGCTGTTCATAAGCGCCACCTGCTGGCAGAGAGTGAATATGCGTCTCATTCAGCTCGTCTGCTGTTTCCTTCAGATATGTTTTATGTAGTATAGTTTCACAAAACTAAAGTCAGATCATTCTGTTTTTGCTTCAAATTTCGAAATTATACAGTCTAATTTAAATGAAAAACTACTCATGCTGCATGTATGCTGCATCTTTGTTTGGATCATGATTAAAATCCAGTGGTTGCCTCTAATTTTTAATGGAAAGAGCACAGACAAAGCCTTAGTTTGTTCATATTAAGAGATTTCTTTTATTTGTGTAACTTGTTTGATTTGGGGTTTGTTTTAAAATTTCAATTTAGTTTTGTTATATTTCAATTTCACAAAGAAACGTGCAGCAATAGCCTAATAAGACGACACCTTTTCATTTACTGTATAATGTCTTCAATCTCATTTTGTTAAAAAAAATGGTGAGAAAATCGAATTGAATCGTGAGTTGAGTGAATCGTTAAATCCCTAGCCATAAGTATTATTATTATTATTATTGTGAGGCATATGTGGAGTTTCTGCCCTCTGGCTTATAGTATGAACGAAACATATATACATTACGTGTCTATAGCGCTCAATAATGCTCACACCACCCTATTTGGGGTAAAAATGGGAAAAGTAATACTTCTCTCTGAAGACATTTGAAGCTAGATACTAGTCCATATCACGATCAGAGTTAAGTGTACTGACTTACTTTTGATTATTTCATCCAAAATTTGGCGAATTCAGTGACATTCTGCGTTACAGTACATTTTTATGACTGGATTCCGCGATTCCATCCGCGTTTTCCACATTGCAGATATCATAGGGCCTTACTCATTGTCATGTTCTAGCCTTGTTATATATATTTTATGCCTTTAATGTTGTAGCAGTTTTTCTCTGTGGTATCAGATATCAATATTTTTCGAGGTATCGTATCGAAGTTATAAATTCCAGTATTGTGACAACACTAATCCACAGTTCATCATTCCTGGTCCTACAGAGCCACTTTCTTGCAGGACTGTAGTCCAGTAAGCTTCTGAATATAATATGACCTATATGACAAATAACACATATTTGAGAAATTACCCATATATTATGTATAACCTCAGATTTTTAACATGTTCGATATTTTGAGGCGATTTTAGAATACATTTCATTTGTCACACGCTTACTAAGAATGAGCTGCATGTTTCTGTGCAAGTTTGTTGTGTTCGTAACAACTCTAAAGATTAAGTTAACAAAGAAAGTGTCTAATTAAAACGTGTAATTTGTAGAACTATTTCTTCTTGATCAAAATGTCCATTAGAGATGTTTTTAATGTGGGTTTGCATGAGTACATTGAGTACTAGTTTACTTAAACCTCAGAGGCACAAATTGACATTTGATTATGATTGAAAATTCGGTAGTTCTTGAACAAAGGGAGGGTTGTACTGACAGTGAGCCAGCATTATTTAACATTACTGTGTGACTCATAACTCTGGTGGGAAGGATGGTATTCATGTCAAGAGCAGATTTCTGATATTTGCTACATGTTTGCTCCTGTCCCCACTGAAGCACAGTGTTGACAGTCGTCAAACCATTGGCCTGAAAGAAAACCTGAGGTTTTTTGTGAACATATGCATTTGTAAGCAAGTCTAAATGACTAATTTCTTGTGCCGTGACTCACAATGGAATGCCTGCAGATTTTGATGATTTGATCTAATTGAAATGACGAACTGTAGTAACTTTCAAATTGACGTTTTATTTTCAGAACCATAAAACAATTAAACGGCTTGGTTGGTGGTTTCAGCACTTTTAGCATGAGAATGATGGTTATAGATCATTAGGGCAGTTGCGTGTTCATTGCTTGTTCATAGTCTGAAACCTCTCTGGTGCAGATAAGGAAACTTGTGCTTCTTATTTGCATATTTGTCCCACTCTTTTATCCCCATCCAAAGGCTCCAGGGCTTTTAGTTACAGGCAGATTTCCATGGAAATACTTTAGTTTGAGAATATTTGCATGGCTTTTTTTCCCGTTTGTCTGTATTAAGTGCAAATGCTTTGGTATTTTGGTAGAATTAGTTGTTGGATTAATGATACAGATAATAATTCCATCAGTTACATTTGTGACCCTGGAGCACAAAACCAGTCTTAAGTCGCTGGGGTATCAATAGCCAACAATACACTGTATGGGTCAAAATTATTGATTTTTCTTTTATGCCAAAAATCATTAGGATATTAAGTAAAGATCATGTTCCATGAAGATATTTTGTAAATTTCCTACTGTAAATATATCAAAACGTAATTTTTGATTAGTAATATGCATTGCTAAGAACTTAATTTGGACAACTTTAAAGGCGATTTTCTCAATATTTAGATTTTTTTTGCACCCTCAGATTCCAGATTTTCAAATAGTTGTATCTCGGCCAAATATTGTTCTATCCTAACAAACCATACATCAATGGAAATCTTATTTATTCAGCTTTCAGATGATGTATAAATCTCAATTTCGAAAAATTTACCCATATGACTGGTTTTGTGGTCCAGGGTCACATTTGTGAGCTGATCCAAAATATGCAAATGTGGAATAGTTATGTTAAAGGAATGGTTCACCCATAAAACCTAATCTTTGGTTGGCACACAAAAAGAGATATTTTGCAGAATGCACAAGCTGCTCTTCTCCATACGGTGAAAGTAGACCAGTCAGATATTTACTGAAAATGTTTCCCTCACTGTAACAACTCTTTATGGAGCTTGACAGGTCATGGTCTGCTTATTTTTAGGGATGGGCGCTATACCGGTATGAAAGTGACTACTGGTATTATGTTGTTCCATGATATGGATTTTGTTATACCTTGGATACCATTATATATTCATGAATTCAAATTTTGCATTTACATTGTTTCGTTCAATACGCTTTGCAAATTTGAACACAAATGACTATAGAATCGAGGCTGAACGTTTTTGTCCTCTGTGTGCAACGCTGTACTACACAGGAATTAGTAATCAAACACATAGAGCATCGGAACAGACCTAATTAATAGAGCACAAATCGCCTACTCCAGTGGTTCCCAAACTGAGGGATCGTACTGTACAGTCAGCAGATTATTTTGCAAAAGAAACCTCTGCAGGGTGATAAAGACTACACTGCGTAATTTTCACGCTTATTCATGCGGCCACTTGCCTAAGTAAATAATTGAGTGCAAAATATTAATTTGACATTTTAATTATTAATCATGACTCGCACAATAGTATCAGCTTGAGTGCTCCATTATCAGTTGTAGCACTTGTGGTTGTATCAATAAC